TGACATATTTTATATATAATTGTATATAATTATATATAAAATAATATAAAAATTTTTCCCGAATATACCTTTCAATTATGGATAAATTAAATTTAATGTTTCATTGAAATTGAATTAAACTTGTGTAAGTTGAAAGTATTAATTCATGACATTTTTAACAATACAACCGAGTAGAGAAGATACTTTTGTCTCCACGCTTTCATTGACGCGGCGTTTCTCCGGTACAGTCTCGTAGCAGCCTCGCGACCGTCAGGACATAATCGGCCGCCGTCTGACTGCGGTTCTCGAAGTCACGAACGTTCGCCACCACGTTTTGCGTCCGGCCAGGTACGGTCTTCCGCGTTCGCGTGATACGGTCGTAATTTCTCTGCGTCGGAGAGCAGCAGGAGCGATTGGACGCCAGGGAGCGCCGGTTCTTCCGGTAAGTTGCTCGATTTGCAATAATTTGATGGTGGGCGAAGTTGGGCGTGCGAAGGGTGAATCTAGGGAGAATACGGAGAGTTTGTGATAATAGATCGATAAACGCTCGGCGCAATATTGCGTGAACGATAAACGTGATTCTTTATACCTTTGTTTGAAATTCATTAATTTTTCTCCGCGAAATCTCGAAATTTTAGCGAATACTACGTTTGAAATTTTTACAGCAAATTTACATTTCGCTTGAAGTTCGCTGAATAATAAAGCATGCGATTTAAAATTCTATTAGTCTCATCTGAAGTTGGTCGAGGAATAAGATGAATATTAGTAGAAAAATCTGATAATGTCTACACGGAAAGAACGATTTTGTTGAAGTGAATTAAAAATTTAACTAGATCTGAAAATGATTTTGTTGAATCAAAATAATTGTGTAGAAAACTCAATTATGATGAGCAACGTTGCAAGAAATGACATTCTAACAACTAGTTTGAGTGTTCTACACAATTACTTTGATAATTCAACAAAATTATTTTCAAATCTGCATTTAGCTAAATGTTTGGATACTACAAAATCGTTCTTTCTGTGCATTTGTTGATCGATGCAAATTCATTATTATATCATAATTCTATTCTTTTAATTATTTGAAATACTAAAAAAACCTATTCACGTATTTATAGATTTGTTTTATTAAAAAAATGTTTTATTAAATTATTTTGTTTAAAAAGTTATTATATTTTTTTAACGCACCAAGCGTTATTACTGAAATTCTATAATGATTGGAAGTAAGAGTAATTAGACGAGGGTGGGAATTTCCGATTTATAATTAAATTCGCTCACGCCTTCCCGCTTCGCCATAATATGTATATTAAAACGCATTAAATAACGAACCCCATTATAACTTTCTTTGTATAAGTCTCCTAAGGCTTTTACTGAGATTACAATGTCGACTGAAGTATAATGAAATGAAAAACAGCGTGAATTTATACGCTGATTTTATGGAAATTCGCACGACTGCTTGAATGTTAAAGAGCGAACTTCAATTAGCGCGATGTTACTCGCCGGCCGATGAGATTTTCTATCGATTGAAGTCAAAGAACGTAATTGTGATCGAAGGGGAAAGAATAAGGTTTGTTATTATCGACGAAAGTTGCAAGTATAGTGGTGAATAGTCAGGATGTGCGAAAACATCATGTTAGACTTGATCGAGGAAAGCGTTTCCGACTTGTGTGCTGAACTTTACTTTCATAAGCGACACCATTTCATAATTTTTACGTCTCTTTGAATATAGACGAAGAAGAAAGTGACCAATATTCTATAACATTTAAAAATTAAATGACATTTTTTAATATAAATACTATGCAGAGAGAACGATTTTGCTGAAGTGTAATTAGATTTAGGTCTGGAAATAATTTTGTTGAATCATCAAATGATTATATAGAATCTTCAAGCATTATGAATAATGTTGCAAAAAGTTTTGACATTCTAATAACTAGCTTGAGTGTCCTATATAATCATTTTGATGGTCTAACAAAGTTATCTTAGATCTAAATCTTGCTACACTTAGACACTTCAGCAATATCATTCTCTTTCTCTGTAATATTAAAAAACATACATACACGAAAAGAATTTTCTGAAAATTTACCCTAAATATATGATAGTTATGGTACAATATTTTAAAGATTTTTACTATACACTTCAATAAAATTAATCAAATTTATTTTATATTTTATTGTAGCTTTATTAATGAATGAGAGAGATTTACATAAAATTCTTCGAAATATTATGTTATCCCACAAATACTATATTTTTCAGGATAAACTCTAAGACAAAAATTCTTTCCATGTAGTTACATTTTTAGATATTTTAACAAAATCATTTTTTCCGTGTATTATATTGCAAAGAGAACTCAAAGTCACATTGCCGAATTCTTATAATTATTTTATAATTTAAATGAAATTTGTATTTATAAAAATCTTTTAAATTAAATGATAATGTCATTTTATCATTATTATGAAACTTTCTCGATTACCAGACTGATGTTATTATAAATACTCAACTGACTATATATATCTATTCAATTGTGAATGGATAAGTATTTTAATTTTAAATAATGAAACCATAAAGATTACTCTCGCGTTTATAGCATTTAAATGAGCATGTAGAAATTTTAATATCAGTTTGCTAGTTTTTGTTTTTACGTGGGTGTAAATTTTAAGCGAAAGCGTGACTCGCGGTGGGCGTAGGTTCACAAAATCGGAGCACTCTCGCTTAAAGCTGCGACAATCGCACTGTTGGCGATTGTCTCTCGAGGTCTCAGGGATATCTATCCTTGGACGAGAGAATCGAGGCTGATGGTGCTCGCGAGATATACCGCGTTATCGATGCACGTGATTTGTCAGCCGCTCCGAGGTCAACATGACGTCGATCATGCAGAGGTTTCAGATCTTGCCTGTATAGAGCCGTTTTCTAATATCCGTTTCTATAGTGGCGACCCTAATGCGAGGCCTTTCTCCGTGAATCCTGAAGAACGCAGGAATCGCAGTTTGAAATCGAAACTTAATATCCGAGACTGAATTTCGTACACATTCTGCATATATAATTACAGTAGAGAAAAATGTCTGATTGGATTAATTGGACGAATTAGAACTTTCTAGTTAAATTTACTAAAGCTACTAAATTCTAGTTGAGGTATATCCGGATTGATAAAATCGGAATCTTCTGATTTATTCATTTTTAATAATTTTTTTCAGTGAGACAATTACAGAATTTCATATATTTATTTTATTCGAATAATTGACTCGACAAATAACACATCATAAAATTTAACTGAATATTTTAAATATTAAAATATTTTGAAATTTTACGAATTATATAATTTAATTAGTTGATTTATTTTGATTTTATAGATAAAAATATTGCTTTCTATTTCATTTTTTTAAGATATTCAAAATTCACAATTTTTTTTTCTAAAAAGCTATTTTTGAGAAATCTTTAACGGTTATAAGAACGCGGTGTGTAACTCCTGGTTGTCACCGTTAGGTTCACTCGCGTGTGACCTTTGACCTAAAAAAGTACATGCTCGACCGATCTCTACCCTCATTGTTTGCCCGTTGTACATTAATTTGCTCGGAGAAGGCCAAAAAAGGTTGTTTGAATGTTGCCTTTCACTGAAGCATTAATGTTAATCAACGCTAGTTACGCTTAACTCAATTTCTGTTCAACACAATTAGATGATAGTAATGTAACGCCAATTTTAATTGAGGATAATAAGGAATCATATTAATTTAATGTTATCATTAATTGAAAGCTAATATTTTAATTAATTAATCGAACATTATCATCGATTAAAAAATAATGATTGGGGATTAGTCGAATTTATCAAGTCGAATTTAATAACAAATTATTTATTATTAAAACATTTTCTGTTATAGTTTATTATCCTAATCGAACTATATAATGTATACTGGAAAAAGTCTTGTATTGATTGTAATTCTGATAAATTCAACCAGAAAGGTATGAATTGGACACTTATTCGTATAATTAAATTTATCAAATATTCTAATCGACATAATCAGAAATTAAATTATAATAATCAGAAATTTAATTCATTGAACTGAATTCATTTTGTTAGAACAATCAAAGCATTTTTCTCAGTAGATAACATTAAATTAACGTTTATGTGTGCGATAATCGTGAATGAAACTAGTTGCAACAAATTCGTTCCCTGGATTCTGTACATCCAATGCGTTTGCACAGAAAATTAATTGCTCTATATGCGAGATTATTTTTATTTCTTTGAAGTTTCTGAAGCACGTGGCACTTTAAAAAACAAACTGCGACGCAGTTATCATTTTTATCGAGTGTCATAACTAGCTAAATTCATTCACCCCGCAATAATGAATGCCCTTTCGCGAAAGGTTGCGCGGTTGGGTCAGAGATAAAATTCAGTCGCGTATTATTAGCTGCATTATGCCTCGCGATATCGCGTTAATTATCAAGACACCTAGTCTTTGTCCATCGCGACAATCGATCGTTCGGTAATTCCTTGACCTTCAACAACTCACCCTGGAGGGACTTTACACAGGGTTGTCGTATAGAAGAGAAAAAACATTTTTATTTGCGTCGCATCCTCGACCCTTCGCCGCAAGATTCAATCGATCGACGCGTGCGATGTATTTATAAACGTGTTCCTGAATGAAATTGAGGAAATACGCCGCTCGGTTATATTATGTAGGTGCATACATGCGCCCACGTATATTCAAAACTATTTTTTCCTAAAAAGTATGAAATTATGTCACCTTATATCATTCTATATTTTTATCGATATAGTTCTCTCATTTTTAAAACATATATAAATTAATTAAAATAAAAAAACATAGCATAAATCAGTCTCTGAATAAAATACCTGCTTCAGAAAATCTTATTAAAGATGTGATGACATATTTATTTCAAGATAAGAAAATATTGTACATTAATTTTTATAACGTATAATATCATCAAATTAGAAATAATATTCGTGTCTTTGTAATTCTAAGTATTTCTACGAGAAAAATTTATTTAGTAAAGTAAATTTTAAAAGATTTGAAAGATACGATTTAAATCGATATTCCTTTAATAAATGACGCCATCGCGAGCTTGCATAATTTTCTCAGAACATCATCTCGTCCACGTGACTATATCTTCTTCGCAATCAATGAGTTATTACGATATATTGTACCTCTCGTTTTTCCATTGGGAAAAATCCTCGCAGAGAAGAATCGTATCATCACATCGCGTTTCTGTCTCATCGCGAAACAGAACCTTGAATACATTGAAAAAAAATGATGTAGCAACAGCATTATCTTAATTGAAAATAATTTCGTTAATTCAATGACATCATTAATGAAACAAATATTTACGCTCTTGTCTTAATAACAATTTTATTTGTTTCATTAATATTGTTGTTATATAAATCAACAAGATTATTTTCAATTAACAATATATTGTTGAAACAACATTATTTTT